TTTTTTTTTTTTTTTTTTTTTTTTTTTTTTTTTTTTTTTTTGCTGTTATTTTAAGTTACTTGCACAGAAACAAGAAACAAACTCCTTGGTTTTAGTCCACAAGCGAACTATACCGACCAAACAACCACCGCTTATCGGCGAAGTTAGTGCCAACTGTAGTGGACAGAGGGCATCTTGTGGTCACCACGATGAATCCCCACAGTCGTTAATTTCGGTTTTGTAGACCGGAAAGTTACTTGCTCAAATATATGTTATTACAGAATGTGTGGAGTAAAGCACTGTTTTAAGTTTAAATTTTGGAGCAGTAGATTTGGACTTTAAATTGAGGTAAATCTCAAATGGAAGTAATTTTAAGACTGAGGTTACTGATGTGAGATCACTGATGTTGAACATTAAATTGGGGCTCCACTGTAACAGATTTTGATTGATGTTGCTTTAGGTCCATCTCAACCTGGAACTGGACGAACAATCATGATGGGTGGTGCTGGAGCACCAAGGCCTGTTGTTGCTAGCAATAATGCATCAAAGTATGTCATTTTAACGTCTCGGCCAACGACTCCAAGTCAGGTGAGTGTGGTATGGCTTAACCAAATACAGTGAAACCCTTGTTTAAGGTTTTGCAGAGGATTTGAGCTCCAAATTAAAATCTTAAAATGGAGGAAATAGAACACTGAAATTATCAACTTCACATCATTGAAATTGAACATTAAATGATGAAATGATAAATTGATGATGATAATTTTTTGGTCCACTGTATATTTATGTAAAACCATCAATACACAACGATTAATTATTACTTTTTCGTAAGACCATATTGGTAGTCTGGTTCCCAAGGCAGGCATAGTGCTCTTCTCACAGACCCCCGCCACAATGGCCAAGAATTCATAACCCATTTTTTCTGCTGTAGTTCATCTTGCCTTATCGTGTTGAAGAATCGAAATGACCACCATCTGCTTTTAAGTATCCTTTACATTGTAAGAATAGGTTTTCAGACACATCTTTGATGCCGTATGGGAATATCGGAAGTTTCATGCTTAATACAGTGTTTCATGGATAAGTTGTTCTGGATATCTGCAGAAAAGAACTTCCTAAGAGGAGCATTTCTTGAAAGGGAAATGTAAAATTGGTTCATTTTTTGGACATACTGTTATGTTTTGATCTCAAGCAATTGTTTCATAATATTTAAGTTATATAAATGCAGATGTATAATATTGGGGTTAACTTGGAAATATGGTAGCAACACCAGAACTGTGACATAATGCCTGAAAACTGCAATCTGCCTATCTGCTGGTTGGGGCTTCACTGAGCACGTTCCCATGGCAACACAGAAGGCGGCACTGCTGGATGGCGAATGGTTGGAACATGTTTCCGCAGCAACGGATAATGACTGAAGAAACAATACGTTGCATACAGAGTCACGTCCATTCACATGGCAACAAACCTGCAAAGCACAGGAACAGCGAAGAATGCAATAACTCAAGTGCTGTAGGGGGTGATCTCCATACGGTTCAGCCAGAACCTACCTCAGGGAGAGAATTGACCAACAGAAGACAGACTGAAGTCAGAAGTGAAGTCTTTATTTTATGTGGTGTAGTTGAAGTAACCTTTCAGGTGTTATTATGCATAGTTGCAAAGGGTTATGAGTATGAGTGTGAGGGGTGAGCCATAAAAACCGGCCCTCGCACTGTGACCAATTATCTATTGTGCTTCCCTTTTGGATTAATCCTTTATTAATCCTACACTTTGAATGAAACGTAGGACTTTGTTTATAGGGACGTCATAAAAGTCACTTGGTGCAAAGGGTTATAGATACAGTAAGATTGTGTTACAACTATTTGTAGTTCTGCCTGGTGAATATCCAATAAATCGATTCATCTAATCCAGAACCCACGAACTGTCGAAATAACCAGGATACGTGACAAATACCTTAGTGCTAAAACACAAGTCATAATGTACCGCCTAAAAGTTGCACATGCTATTTGGAGATACTTCTACTTTCTCTATAATATTGTTCCTCCTGCCAAATCATTGCATTCTGTTTAATCCGAACTGGAGATGAACAGTCAGTGGGTCAGGTACAAGTTCTGGAACAGTCTGCAATTGATTATCATCAACTGTGGTACAGTTTTACTATTGAGAAATGAATAATGGTTTAAGGCCTTTTAAAACATGTTGTGATCAAACTTGCAAATTGTGTGGAATGCAGGAAATATATTAAATGGGATATTAAAAAGAATATGTTCCAAAATGAATGTCTAAAATTGGAGAACATATAAGAACTTTATACTTGGAAAATTTTAACAGAATTCTTTTGAGTGTTTTAATGGGACTTTGAAAATCAAACTTCTTGATGAGGGAAAACTTTAATATACACAAACTTCTTATCCAAGAAACACTGCATATTCTTAAAAGTTCCAACAAAAAGTGTGGATTGTTCAACTGTAGTTCTTCTCTCAGCATGCCCTACATGTAAAATTTACAAGGATTTTAATCAGGTGATTGCGAGAATCGCAGTCCTCGACATAATGACTCATTGATCAAAGACTTCATCTAATGCAACCATAGAATTGGTTACATTTTGTGCTATTGCATTATCTTGCATAAAGTGCCTTTACAGTTTTTTTCATCAGTTATTTGATGAAAGGAGGTTCACAGAGTCAACCTTATATAAGGTTTGTAATTTTATTTTAGCTGTATTTGTGGTTTTACAATGAGTAATTGTGTGACTCATGAAGATTGCTCTTAAATTTTCAGAGTGAAACTTAGGAATGAAGAATGTCATCTATACAGAATGATTAAAAAGTGGTTATGGGCTTTAAGGGGGTATATTACTCAGTTAAATGAGTAAAAAAAAGGCCTAGTTAACATATGTCCAGAAGTCAGTGCCTGCTGAAATATGGGTGTGTTTTCAAGAAGTTTGCATATTAGAAGAGTGGCAGAAGATCCTGCAGCTGCTGAAGGTATCAGTGTTCCCTTGTCTGGAGAATTCTCCAGGAACAGTCACTTTACCCATACCACATCCAGAGACTGCAAATCCTCACTCCTCCTGACCATCATGCAAGGGTGGAGTTTTGCCAGTGGCATCTTGCAAAATGCATTGTAAACACGCAATTTGTAGCCAACATCCTGTTTACTGATAAAGCAGGATTCACACGGAACAGTATTGTGAACTTTCATAATACCCATATGTGGGTGGGCAACATTACCCGCAGCACTGTGGCATCAAGATATCAACAGCGAGTTTCCATATGTCTACATGGCCATCTTAGGTGATCAACTCTTAGGCCAAACTGTTGTACCTAGCAGACTAACAGTCTCAGTGTTCCATCATTTTTTGATGAATGATTTAGCAGTACTCTTGGAACATGTACCTCTTCATCAGTGACAACATATGTGGTTCATACACAATGAGGAATAACCATATTTTCTCTTCACTGTTAGAGAGCACCTGAACCAGACTTCCAGTGAAAACTGAATAGGAGTGTAGGTCCATTCAACTGGCCTGAATGATCCCCTGTCCTTAATTCTTTGAATTTTTGGATGTGGGGGCACCTAAAGACTGTGGTGTATTAGGCACCAATCAGTGATGTTGAGGTTTTACAGCAGTGAATATAGGATGCCTGTCATAATGTTCGAGTGAAACCAGAAGCTTTCGAGAGTGCACCTCTGTAAGGAAGAGCTGAAAGTTGGTTGAAGTGAATGGGCACCGCACAGAGCATCTGCTATAGAGGTCATGTGAACAAAACCCAAATCTCAGCTGTCACTGGTTTATGGATGTATGGTGACTGGGACTTCTTGCTTATTTAAAATTAAAATTAAAATTAGTTGATGTTATTTGCTATTGTGGGAATTAGTACTCCAATGTTAGTGTTATTCTATCAAAATCTGTCATAATCTATCATATATATATATATATAACAGCAAATAATTTATTATCTGTACAATTTGTAGGAGTCCATAGTTCGATTGCCTGTGCAAGCCCTACAGGCATCATCTGCCCCAGCAAGCAATGCCAATTCAGCAGTGGTCAAGTTTGTGACTGCCTCACAATCAGTTGCAACTCAGAAAATTGTCCAAGCAACAGCCCCAAACCAGCAAATGACAAAGCTGGTTGTGGTGTGCATGGCAAACTCTGGAAGCACTGCCAGTACGACGCAGGTATGTACTGCTTTTCGAGAAAACGAAAATGGGTTTTAAGTTGTAGGCTTGATTACTGTATTTACAGTTATTTAGGAAATGTGGAACCAAAATGATACTGCAGTTATGACCTCAACAGGCAGGAAATGTTAAATTTATTTTGTTCTCCATATATAATAGAGATGTTTCCTCTGGAGACAAACAAACTGGAGGGGCAGATAGAAGTGCCCAAAAGACGAGGAAGAAGACCGAAGAAGATATTTTAACTGAAGGAGAAAGCTTGAGATCGCATTAAGTGGAGGAACTGTTTTGGAAGAGACTGTGGACCTGTCGTATGACAGATTACCGATGAATGAATGAATATAATAGAAGCCAGGTTACTTCAGTCAGTGTAGTGACTAGGCTGTGGGCTAGACAGCCAAGGAGTCAGGGTTTAGTTCTTGACAGGGGAAAGAGATTTTTCTCATCTCCATAGTTTTCTGTAGATTCCACACAGTCTGCTGTGCAATGGGTACAGGGGCTGTTTCCTTTCAAGTGAAGTGGCAGGGGCATGAAGTTGACTGCACACCTCCATCTAGTACATAGGTTAAGAATGGTGGAACTGTACTTAATTACAGAAATAACTTTGTCATTTAATTCTCTGGTGTTTGAGAATTTATAGTGTTCCTTTATTTTGCAGGCAGTAACCAGTCCAGGGTCAAGTCTAGGTGTGAAGTCTGTGTTTGTAACACAGCAGCAAATCAAAATGGAGACTGGAGCAGAGGAGCAGTGAACACCATTTGGTTAAGAACACAGAAAGGTAATGGTTAGAAGTAATGTGCAACTATGTGAATAGTACCTCTTACGGAAATATTTGTTCAAGACTTTGATGCATCTTTTTTCCTGGTCATAAGGTGCACATTTGCTAAGAAATATCTGATAGAGTTCTATTTTATGGCCTGAAGGTGCCGAACTTAACAAACCAACGTACACTTCTAGTGTAACATTTCGTTTCTGCAGGACACTGCTGTAGCACCTTGGGTCTTTCGGCAGGTGACAGCACGACTTGGGATAGGAATGGCCCGCATCCTGTCCATTAGGAAGTCCAGGGCCATATTGGGGAGCAGGGGAGTTTTTCTTTTGTGTAACATTCAGATTCATTATCTCCAAAAAGAAACTCAAAATGTATTTTTCATTGTATTTCATTTAGTGTTGACAGTTGTGTTAGGGTCAGTAATTTACAAGTTACAAGATTTTTATTTGAATTATTACTGAGAATCTTTGCATATGTGTGTGTGTGTGTGTGTGTATATACACACACACACACCCACACACAGTACATACAATGGTTACTCATGTAAGATCCCCTGTCACATATGTCTTCCCCAACTTTGTTGTGGTGCAGTGTTCAGTTTTTGTCACTGATATAACAAGATCTCATTTGAAGTCTGCTGNAACCCCCCCAGACGATTTAACTGCTGTATCTACTATGATATACAATTTTTGTATAATAAACTTTTTACTGGATCAGCAACTGACTTCCCTGCCAGATCAGATAGGAACAGTTTTTGTTGTGATAGGCCTTAGTAGTCTGTCAGAAGCAGTTGAGAATTATTTTAACCCGTTGCCGTGGTTTGACGTGTATGTTTCGTCAGGTATTTAAATCGTCTGGGGGGGTTCGACGTGTATGTTTCGTCCAGCTGCACACGTATGTTATAACGCCCATAATAATTGATGGTTTTGCTGTAGATTGTTAGATTTTTCACTGGCCTGTTGTCAGGAGGACTGTATTTAATGACACACGCGTTTAAGAGCGCTAAGTCGTCGTTACATATGCCTGTCTTGCAGCAACGTTCCTGTGGCTATTGCGAGCTGTTTCTGTTATGAATGATGTGTTTTGTTTGCTCTGAAGCTATAAACACCAGAGACTGATATGTGCTGGTGTTTATA